CCGGTGGGCAGGAGCAGCAGTCCCAGCAGCAGCAGGACCAGCCCCAGCCGCAGCCGCCGTCCCAGCAGCACCCGCCGCAGCCGTGGGCTCGTCTCCCGCCTGGTTGGCCCGGCACCTCCGGAGGCGGTGGCCGTGGTGGCGGCCCGCGCAGCTTGGCGTCTACCAGCGGCTCCAGTGCTGTGACCTGCCAGTACCAGCTTCAGACCGGGCCTCTCCGCGGCACTCTGTGCCGCCGCCCGCACCCGACCGCCCGCTGTTTCCGCCGCCTCGACGATCTTTTTCGTCGTCGCTTTGGCCCGGCCCCGGACCTCCCTGACTGGCACAGCCTACTCCGCCAGGGCGTGCCGATCTTTGAGTTAGACATGGATCAGATAGGTGCTGCTTTGCATGCTTTGTATGCTGACGCTTCTAGTGTTGCTGGATCTTACTACCCTGTGTACTCTAGTTTAGATGTTTCACCCTTGTGTAGCTTAGCTTCCCCTGCTGCGACAGGCGTAGGACTGCCTAGGTTGCCTAGTCTAGTCGCTGCACCGGCTCCGTCCCCGGCCTCCGCCACTACGTCGCTGTCCTTCACTCTCGACTCTGGTGCTTCTGCCTGCTTCTTCCGCGACCGTTCCACGCTCACGCCGCTTGCTGCACCTGCTGTTGTCTCTCTCGCTGACCCCTCTGCGGGTCCGGTCGTCGCGCGCAGTTCTACGTCCCTTCCTTGTCCGGCAGTTCCCTCGGGCTCCCTTACTGGCCTCCACGTTCCCTCGTTCTCCAGGAACCTGGTTGGTGTCGGCTGTCTCCAGGACCTCGGCGTCACCACCACGTTCCCCGGGCACGAGCGGTTCGCTGTCTGTTCTGAGGCTGTCTCAGGTTCCCCCCTTGCGACGTTCCCCCGGGACCCGGTGTCCGGTCTGTTTACCCTACACACCGCTTCCCCCCCGGTTGGTGCGTCCTCCCAGGTCGCTGCAGCTTGCTCGTGTCGGTCCCTCACTCACCCCTCCCTTCTCTGGCACCACCGCTTAGGTCACCCTGCTCTCCCGCGTCTGCGTCACATGTCCCAGCACGGTCTTGTCTTAGGTCTCCCCGCGTCGCTCCCTGCCCTTCCTCCCTCGACTGCGCCACCGTGCACGCCTTGCGTCGAGGGTCGGCTCCGCCGTGCTCCTCACTCCTCCTCGCTGCGTCCTGCTACTGCCCCCCTTCAGACCCTGCACTTGGACGTTTGGGGCCCTGCCCCCGTCCCCGGACCGCGCGGTGAGCGCTACTTCCTTGTGCTCGTCGACGACTACACGCGCTACACCACGGTGTTTCCCCTGGAGCGGAAGGCCGACGTGCCCGACGTTCTTCTCCCGTGGGTTGTGGCTGCGCGTCTCCACCGCGGTCTCCCCGTGTTGTGTCTCCACTCCGACCGTGGCGGCGAGTTCGCCTCTGGTCGGCTTGGACAGTTCTGTCGTGCGGAGGGCATCACCCAGTCGTACACGTTGCCGGACTCGCCACAGCAGAATGGGGTTGCTGAGCGCCGCATCGGCTTGGTCATGGAGGTCGCCCGTACCTCCATGATCCATGCCGATGCCCCCCATTTTCTGTGGCCGTTCGCTGTTCGCTACGCGGCTCACCAGCTTAACCTGTGGCCACGCTCCCAGCGGCCGCAGGTTTCGCCGACCCTCCTTTGGACCGGGTCCCCCGGTGACGCGTCTGCGTTCCACGTCTGGGGCTGCCTTGCTCACGTTCGTGCCTCTGGCACGGACAAGCTCACTGCCCGCACTGTCCCCTGTGTCTTCCTCGGTTTCCCCCTGGACTCGTCTGACTGGCTTTTCTACCACCCGCCGTCTCACCGCTTCCTCCACTCTCGTGACGTCACCTTTGACGAGTCCGTCTCCTTCTACCGCCGCTTCCCTCACCGAGGTCTCCCAGTTGCCCCCCCCTTTTCCTTGCTCCCTCTCCCCCGGTAGCCCCTGCCCCTCTCCCGCCTCGTCCTGCCCCGTCTGGTGTCTCCCACGTCACTCCCCTCCCGTCGGTTGTCCCCGTTGAGGAGTCTGCTGACTCTGGTGGTACCCCCGGTCCGTCCTTGCAGCGTCCCCCTTCCCCGGTGCCTCCGCCCCCACTGTCGCAGTCGCCGACCCCGCTGCCGCCGCCGTCGCCGTCGCCGCCGCAGCCGTCGCCGCTGTCGTCGCCGCCGCCGCCGCTGTCGCTGCCGCCGCTGTCGCCGCCGCCGCAGCCGTTGCCGCCACTGCCGCCGCTGCTCTCGGCCCCTGGGGGTGCTGGTGTGGAGGAGGGTGTTCGTCCTGCGGCTTCTGGGGGTGCCGCTGGTGTTGGAGGGGGTTCTCGCTCTGGGGGTGCTGGTTCTGGGGGTGCTGCTGTTGAGTGTTCTGCCGACGGTCGTTCTGCCTCTGCTGGTCCGAGAGTTCCGGCCCAGCCGTCGTCGCCGCCGCAGCAGCCGTCGCCGCCGGTTTCCGCTCTCCGCCTGCTCGGCCTTCCCTCCCCGGACCGCGCGCCGGTGTCTCCCCCACCGCCTCCTGACCTTCCTGTCTACGGTCCTGTGTTCCCGCCGCCAGACTCGTCTCCGGCCCGTCTTCCTCCTCGTTCCCCTCCTGTGTCTCCTCCGCTGTCCCCTGACCCTACCCCTCCGTCTCACGTTTGGGCTCGCCGTCCCTCCCGTGCTCGTCCCGTCTCTCCTGTCCTGCCCACCCACCCTATGTTGCTCCGTTCCCACTCGTCTCGTCCTCCCCTCCTCCCGTCCCCTCCTCCCTCGTCCCTTGCTGTTGCACCTCCTCCGTTCTCTGACTACCTCCGTGCTGCTCGTCCCCTTGTCCCTCGGGTCCTTGCCTCTCTTGTTACCGACCCTGCTGTTCCTGTCTCGCGCCTTGACGCGCTTGTCACTGCTGTCGCTGACTTCGCCTCTACCCGCCGCCTTGACTACGCTACCGCTCTGGTCTCTGACCCTGCCCGTCCTCTGTCCGTCGGGGGTGCTCCTGCCCTTGGCAGTGACGTCCTAGAGGACAGGCAGTACGAGCTGGCTTTCCTTTCCGAGGCTGCTCCCCATCTCTGCTCCATGCTGTTAGTCCCTGAGGGTGACCCAGACGCCTTCGACATCCCGACCCCTCGCACCTACGCTGAGGCCACCTCGGGACCTTGGGCCTCTCAGTGGATAGCTGCCATGGAGCAGGAGATGGCATCTTGGAGATCCACCGGCACTTACGTCGACGCAGTTCCCCCGCCTGGGGTGAACGTAGTCGATGGTCGGTGGCTCTTCAAGGTGAAGCGCCCCCCTGGAGAGCCGCCTGTCTTCAAGGCGCGCTACGTGGCCAGAGGTTTCAGTCAGCGCGAGGGGGTTGACTTCTTCCAGACCTTCGCCCCGACCCCGAAGATGACCACTCTTCGGGCGCTGCTACACGTAGCAGCACAGCGTGACTACGAGCTTCACTCCCTCGACTTCTCTACTGCCTTTCTTCAGGGCAGCCTACACGAGCAGGTCTACCTGCGCCGACCACAGGGCTTCACTGGTACCTTCCCTCCTGGGACCCAGTGGCTTCTCAGGCGCCCGGTCTACGGCCTGCGTCAGGCTCCCCGCGAGTGGCACGACACGCTACGTGCCACGTTAGCAGACCTACAGTTCTTTCCGTCCTCTGCTGACCCTTCACTGTTTGTGCGTTCCGGCCAGACTCCGTTCTACATCCTTGTCTACGTAGACGACCTGGTCTTCGCTACTCCTGACAGGGACGCACTGGCCTCTGTGAAGGCTGAGCTGCTGAAGAGACACACCTGCACTGACCTTGGAGAGCTGCGTCGCTATCTTGGCCTGCAGATCTCTAGGGACAGAGCAGCACGCACCATCACTCTGACCCAGTCACACTTGGTGCGTCAGGTCCTTCAGAGGTTCGGTCTTCAGTTCTCCTCTGCACAGCCCACACCTCTACCCGTAGACCATGGGCTCTCTGCTCCCGTTCCTGAGGAGCCAGTAGAGCCCAGTGGCCCCTACGCAGAGCTGGTGGGTTGCCTCATGTACCTGATGACTTGCACTCGCCCAGATCTCGCATACCCTCTCAGCATCCTGGCTCGCTTTGTGGCTACAGGCAGACACCGACCTCAGCACTGGTCTGCCGCTAAGAGGGTTTTGCGTTATCTTGCTAGTACATCAGGCATGGGGTTAGTGCTAGGAGGACGCAGGCCAGTGGTCCTTACTGGGCACACAGACGCTTCTTGGGCAGACGACGCTGAGACGCTCAGGTCGTCGCAGGGCTACTGTTTCAGCCTTGGTTCGGGTGCTATCTCTTGGAGATCCACTCGCTCGTCGTCTGTGGCTCAGTCTAGCTGTGAGGCTGAGATCTACGCTGGTGCCATGGCGGCACAGGAGCTCCGCTGGCTGACCTTCTTGCTCACAGACTTAGGTGAGCGGCCTAGCTCTGCCCCGGTCCTGTACGCTGACAACAGGGCCATGATACTCCTGTGTCAGGAGCCTCGGCTTGAGGGCAGAGCGAAGCATATCCAGCTGCGGTACTTCCTCCTGCGCGAGCTACAGCAGCGCCGCCAGGCCCGCGTAGTTCACTTGGCCTCAGGTGCCAACACAGCTGATATCTTTACTAAGGCGCTTGCGCCTAAAGATCATCAGCGGCACTGTGTACAGCTTGGTCTTGTTCCTGTAGCTGCTCCCCTGTTAGGATCCTGATTGTGTACTCTCTATTATATATGCTTGTCAGACTGGCCTTGTGGCCTTACCTCCAGTGGCTGGACTAGTAGTGCCACCCTGGCTTGCTTCAGTTTTGGTTGTATTCTTGCTGACTGGTCTCCAGACCCCTGCCTCAGTGGTTGGACTAGTAGTGCCGCCCTGAGCTGTTTGCTTCTTGTTTAGTTTCACCCCTTGTCTAGCCTAGGGGGTGTGTCAACTTATACATATTATCTATGTAGAAGTTATAGGCTAGACTGAGGTATGCTTCTAGTGAGTACAACCAACTAGTATTTGTTCTAGGTTTCCACCTCTAGTAATCATTCGTTTCTACGTTAACAAGAACACCGAGCACCTCACCTCCAATTATCAACTATCGGTTATCAATACACTACTTAGTACTGTTAAAACACTCAATAACATCAACAGTAATCTTGCCTAGGAACCTAAGGAATTGTGCATGATAGGCGGCCAATGGAAATGGGCCGTTTATTTGAGAAGCGTGACCTAACATCAGACGAGAATACGCTAAGGCCTTAACAAAAGGTTGTAGTGCACGAGATGTGACCCGAGCAACCTGTTCAAAGAAACTCGTAGGACGAAGCACCACGTAGAAATGGGGGAAATGTGGGGAGGGGGGAAGGAGACAAACAAGGCGTCCCAAATTAGCTCGGCATGGAGGTGTACAAATGTGCGAAGGAATAGACACACGGGGAATGAAAAGAAGTGGAATAGGAAAGTGTGTCAAGCTATTCGACACGTGGAGAGAAGTACCGTAAAAGCACGGATATAAGACCCCCATGGAATAGAAGATACTATGTCTTGTACCGTAATCCCCCGGATATAGGCGCATAGGTGCTTATAGGAAATACCTGACAAAAGTGGCATGCGTTTGTAATCAAATAAAATTTATAAGCCCAGGGCTTGTGAAAGGGATTTTATGGAAAAAATATTTGAGCACGTGAAAATGTATTTCTTGACATTTGCATTCTAGCGCGTGTGTTTCCAAAGGGCATCATTCTGACCAAGCACGAGAAGTTGGCTGACAAAGCTTCCGCCACCAGATCCACTAGGGAATGACTGGTATTGCGAGCCAATCAGAGCCAACACACTGAGCGAGATCCGCGCTCTTGGCTCGGGAGGCGCTCGGGAGGGACACGCCATAAAATCCGATATGGAAATCCCCCGTTTATTATACGTTTTGACAAAAATGTTATGCGCCTATAGGAAATACATTTTCAAAAATATGGGTGCGCTTATAATGAAATAACGGATATAAGCGCACTTGCACTCCATAAGCGCAATGGGCCAAATAAAAGGATGCGCCTATATCCGGGGGATTACGGTATTAGGCGTCTATCATGTATTAGGATTTCTCGTTTATAAGTTCAGATTTTAGAGCGGTATGAGATAAGATACCCCCCTCCCCCCTTATTCTCCCTTATTTTCCCACCACATTGGTATGAGGGGACAATGTATGTAATGCAGGGGTTAAAGAAATATGTAAAACAACAAATCCACTCAGGTTTCCATCGTAGAAATCACAACCCTCCCTTTTTTTAACAAGTTCTATAGGGGAGGCATTAGGTGCCGAGCCCTCTGACACTCCACACCCACTTTTGCCCGCTTAAAGCGACCCCATTACAGCACCAGAACCCGAGCATTACACCCTCACTGCAATTTGAATCACCACAACAGTTCCTTTTATAAGACAATTTTCCATGTATAAGAAACACCCCCACCCCCTCATTTTGTTCCGTTTATAAGCAACTTTCCAGCTTTTCACCCCGTTATAAGATAAGACATAGGGGTCTTATATCCGGGCTTTTACGGCAGAGAAGATAAAATGACACCCATCAGGGGACACATTCCGTTACACACCATCCCCCCCGTGGTATGCATAACACGTGATACATTGCATGGCGAGCATTTATGCATGCAAGTGTCACCTTCAATTGTAGTGTTACTTTAAAGCCCATGTCACTCTCAACTTAAAGCACAGCCTCTCTCATGTTAAAGCCCACCCTCTCTTACCTGGAAGCTCAGCCTCTCTCACCTTGAAGCCCCCAAGCCACATGCGAGTGCAGAGCACCCAACCCGCCACTGCTGCTGCCGGGCCGGCAGCTGGCGCTCCAGGAACCAGTCCTAGCCCGCCAAGTGACACGAGGGCGTGGCGCTGCACGAGGAGGGGAGTGCCATCCACATAGCCTGCCAGGCGCCTCACTGCCTGCCCTGTGCCTCCTGCTGCCCCCGTGCCTCCATCACCCCTGTCAGTCCCACCCACTCCCTCCCTGCCATCCGTGCCCTCCTTGCCCAGTGCTGCCCACTCCGCCATTGCCGCCACCACTGCCTCACCACCTGCCTCCCCCTCCCACTCTCCTTCCTTGCCCTCTCTCTCCTCCTCTCCCTTCCCCACGCCCCTCTCCATGCTGGTTGTCCTCACCCCCACCACCCCCATGCGGCCATCCCCTGCCATCGCAGCAACCAGCTGCTCCAGCCACTCGCACGCCTCCTCACCCTCCCCATGCATCACAGCTGGCAGGTCACGCCACGTCAGCATGAGGAGCAGGCGGCCGGTGGCAGCGCGGGCCAGCAGGTCAAGCCTCTCCCACTCCGACATGAGCACCGTCTCTGCTGTGCCTGCACCCCCCTTCGCTCCCTCCCCACTGGCTGCATCTGCTGCGCCTCCAGCAGCAGCAGCAGCAGCAGCAGCAGCAGCAGCAATGTGCGGCACCACAAGCGGCAGCACGAGCATCTCCCGTGAGTCAATGCTGCGAGCTGCCTGTTGCCACGCCACCACCTGCTCCCCCATGGACCCCAACTGCTGCCCCTCCGCTTGCTGCCCCTCCGCCTGCTGCCCCTCTGCCTGCTGCCCCTCTGCCTGCTTGCTGTTAGGTGACAGCAGCAGCAGCAACTCAGCAAGAGGGGGGTGAATAGGATGAGCGGTGGGGGGAGAGTCGCTGGCATGGGTGGATGCTGCTGCTGCTGGGGTGTGAGTGACCCTAGCAGCGCAGGCATGAAGGCGCTGCACCATGTGCTCCGGTGCTGCCATTGCCTCTGCTGATGCCGAGTGCTGTGGTGCAGGGTGTGGCAGCAGCAGAAACGAGATCACGGGAGAACCCTGTGCCGCCCCACCCACTGCACTGCCAGCCTTCATCTCCCCTTCTCCCTCACTCGCATCCTTGCCCCCCACATCCCCCCCTCCACTCCCGCCTTCCCACAAGCCCCCCCTCCACCAGACCTCAGGGGGCGCAGTAAGGGCAGCAGAGAGGCGGTGAGAGGGGCGGGCGTCCCCCCACGGCACGCACCACTTGTCAAACGCCGCCCCTGCCACTGCTCTGTACCGCTGCAGCTCGCTGTCGTGCTGCGCCTCCCACGCCATGCCCCCCCCCCGCACGCCACACCGCACCCACAGCTGCTGCTGGGACGCTGCCAGCGCTGACTGGGTGGCTGCCAGGCTGGCAGAGGCGGTTTCGAGGCGGGCTGATGTGGCGTCGACAAGGGACTGCAGGCGAGGGGCGAGCTGGTCGGTGGCGTTGGGGGAGATGAGGGCAGCGAGGGGCAGCGAGAACAGGGAGGCGAGAGGGCGGAGGGAGAAGAGGAGGCGCTGGAATGACTCCACGTGGGCTGTGGGGGATGGGGTGGCGGTGGAGCGACAGAGGCACAGGGGGCAGGAAGGGGATGGAAGAGGAAAAATGTTGTTTGGCGGGGAAGACACGGCATGCACCAAGGAACAATGCCACATGTGGTCGACTGCAGTAAGCACTTTTCAACAAGCACCCCTGACAACACCATGCACCCCGCCATCCAGGCAGGCATGCGAGCAGCTCACGGGCGTCAGCAGGGGAGGCGGTGAGGTTGGCCTCCACGTCGCCCACCGTCGCCACGCTGCCCGCCTGCACCGCCTCCCCCGCCACGCCCCCTGCGCCCTCCCCCGCGCCCCACATCGCCTGGCGCTGCAGCCCCGCCCATGCCCTGCCCTCCCTCTGCAGCACCTCCACCCGCGCGCGCACTGCCGAGGGGGAGAAGTGGGGTGGAGGGAGAGGACTGCACAGGTGAGAGAAATGCCGAGATAAAGGGAATAGATGCCAAAGCGCGTGGTAGATGAATGCAATGAGGTGCCTCTGCTGCTGCCAGGACATGAAAACCTTCCCTCCACCTTCCCATGCCCATCCCCCAACCCAACCAGCCCCTCCCTGCCCCCCAAGGCAAGGCACCTGCAGCGACTGCCCTCTGCTGCGCCTCCACCCCACACTGCAGCGCCACACACCGCCGCACTCCCTCCCTCCCACCCGCCCAAATCTCCCCCCCACCCCCGCCCTCCACTGCGCGCGACCCCTCTCCCGGATCCGCCTGTGCTGCCCCACCCCCCACTCGCCCAGCCACCTCTGCCTCTCGCAGGAGGGCAGCAAAGTCCGCCGTCTGCCCACTCGCCACTGCCAGCGCAGCCCGCAACGCCTGCTGTGCTGCCTGCACCCCCGCTGCTGCTGCTGCTGCTCCTGTCTCCCCTTCCCTGCCTGCCTGTTGAGCCTCCTCCCGGCTAACTCTCACTGCCTGCAACAGCACTGGCACGGACTCGGGTTGCACCAATGAGACAGTGCCATGTGGCACAAGGCGCTCCCTCTCCAGCTCCTGACACACGGCAGCAGCAAGGGGGCGAAGAGACGTTGGTGATGGGAGCGGCAGCATTGCAAGTGCAACCTCCCTACTCTGCACCATCCTTCACGCATCCCCTAGCACCCCCCTCGTCCCCGTCGCCCCATCGTCCTGTCGTCCCATGGTCACCTGCATGGCAGCGTGCAGCACGGCCGCCATGCCCCGCTCGTCCTCAGCTGCTACGGCCATCGCCTCCTGGCGCTGCCGCATCACCAGCCAGTTCGCCAGCACCAGCGCTCGCACGGCTGGGTGCCTGGTGGCCGCACACACGCGCACATGGGGGGGGAATGGGGGTGCATGCACGGGCAGGAGATTGGAGGCGAGTGGTGGATGGCATGAGAGCCCCATGTGGGGAGCAGCGCTGCCTCACTCACGCGCACCTGTCGTGAAGGTCAGCCATGCCATATGCAGCCGCCCATGCCTCTGCAGCCTCTGTCGCCTCGTGGAGCTCACCCACAGCACGGCCAGGGTCAGCGCCAGGGTGTGGCGCAGTGGGAGCGCCAGCGCTGGGGCCAGAGGGCAAAGAGCCGCTGGGAGCAGCTGCAGGCGAGTGGGGCAGCAGAGGCAGGTGTGGCGAAGCTGCTCCTCTCTCCTGCCATGCCCCCTGCGCCCCCTGCGGCCCCTGCTCTGCCCCTTGGGCGCCCTGCTCTGTCCCCTGCGCCCCATGCTCTGTCCCCTGCGCGCCCTGCCATGGGTGAGCGCCTGAGTGCAGCAGCTGCTGCCCGTTGTGCCCTCCCTGCGCGTCCAGCGGCACGAGGGCGAGCTGCAGCAGCAGCAGCGAGCAGAGCAGAGCGCCCAGTAGCACGCCCAGGGACAGCGGAGCCAGCCACAGACAGGCGAAACTGCCAGCGGGGCCAGGGGAGAGTGCATGGGAGCGGGGTCGGTTGGTGGGGGAACATGTGTGCCCGCCTGTGTTGCGTGTGCACGCCTGTGTTGCGTGTGCACGCCTGTGTTGCGTGTGCACGCCTGTGTTGCGTGTGCACGCCTGTGTTGTGTGCACATCACGCATGCGGGGCAGGGGGGTGAGAGAGTGAGTGAGAGTGAGAGGGTGAGGGAGGGAAGGAGGGAGTGGGGGGGGAAAGGGGGGCAGAAAGGTGTGTGCGTGTGTGGAGGGAGGGAAGCGGGGGGGGGAAGGGGGGGACGAGGAGAGGAGAATAAACGTAGCTACGGCTAGAAGGTCGCGGGTCAGACGGGCAACCCAAGGGGAGCAGGAGCCTGGCATCCTTACCTCAACCAATGACGTGGCTCGCCGGCTGTCCCGCCTGCACTCGACGCGCCACTGCTGGCAGATCGCTGCGGGTAGAAGTCGCCTGAGAAGAAGAGGAAACAGGGTACGAGAGAGGCATGCCGGCGGGAGATAGCAGACGAGGCGTTGAAAAAACGGATGGAATTGAGCTGACTGGTCTAAGCGCAAGCAGGATCGCGGAGATAACCATTCTAAACTGATGAAGCTTATGGCCACGCGGAGGCGTTGCCAGGTAAGGAAGGGGGACCATAGGAAGGTCGTTTTACGAGGCGCTTACGCGGCGTCACGTAGAAACGCATTGTCCCGGGACCCTAGCGACGCCCGAAACAACGCATCTCCATGCTGTCAGCTCCTTCCAGTGCCGCCGCTGACATGTTTGACGGACGTGGGTGGAAATGTCGGGAGTTACGGAAAATTGCACAACAGTGGGCAGCTGTCTCGAGGTGGTAAGGGGGTGTCTAGGGGCAGAAGGTTTCGTGACGTTGCCCTCAAATCGACCCAAACAAGAGACACCGTTCTTTTGTTACGAATTAATCAGAGTAAAAACAGGTAGTGTAATAAAGGAGTCGTGATTCAAGAGTGTCGATACAAATGAGAGTCTAGGCATTTATAGGCACGAACAAAGCTAGCCGAGAACCACGCGAACAGGTTGGGGCGATTCGGTTGGCAAAAGCAACGGAAGCGCTGCGCGTCGAGGTTTGGGTTCACAAAGTGGTTCGGGTCGGGACCGAAGAGTCGAGGGCGTACATCTTAAAAACTGAATGAATAATAAGAGAGAGAGAGAGAGAGAGAGAGTACAGGTAAATATATCTAAGTGTTGTACCCTCTAAGAGGTGACCCTATACAGTCTATGCAAACATAAGAGGTACACATGTTTGACACACCCCCTAGACTGCATAGGGGCAGGACCTGAACAAGCAGTTCAGGGCGGCACTACTAGTCCAGCCACTGAGACAAGGGTCTGAAGACCAATCAGAAGGAATACAGGCAAGGCAAGAACAAGACCAGGGCGGCACTACTAGTCCAGCCACTGGCAGAGGACACAAGTCCGGTCTGAGTACATATAGATATATAGGACAGTACAAGGTCAAGGTCCTAGCAAGTGACAGGCTACAGGAACTAGACCGATATGTACACAATGCCGCTGATGATCTTTAGGCGCAAGCGCCTTCGTACAGATATCAGCTGTGTTGGCACCGGAGGCCAGGTGTACTACGCGAGCCTGGCGGCGCTGCTGTAGCTCGCGCAGGAGGAAGTACCGCAGCTGAATATGCTTCGCTCTGCCCTCGAGTCGAGGCTCCTGACACAAGAGGATCATGGCCTTGTTGTCAGCGTACAGGACCGGGGCAGAACTAGGCCGCTCACCTAAGTCAGTGAGCAAGAAAGTCAGCCAGCGGAGCTCCTGTGCTGCCATGGCACCAGCGTAGATCTCAGCCTCACAGCTGGACTGGGCAACAGACGAGGAGCGGGTAGCTCTCCACGAGACGGCACCTGAACCAAGGCTGAAGCAGTAGCCCTGGGAAGACCTGAGTGTCTCAGCGTCGTCCGCCCACGAAGCGTCTGTGTGTCCAGTAAGGACCACTGGCCTGCGTCCTCCTAGCACTAACCCCATGCCCGATGTACTTGCAAGATAACGCAAAACCCTCTTAGCAGCAGACCAGTGCTGCGGTCGGTGTCTGCCAGTGGCCACAAAGCTGGCCAAGATGCTGAGAGGGTATGCGAGATCAGGGCGAGTGCAAGTCATCAAGTACATGAGGCAACCCACCAGCTCTGCGTAAGGACCACTTGGCTCTACTGACTCCTCAGGAACTCGAGCGGAGAGTCTGCGGGCTAGAGGCAGAGGAGAACTGAAGGCCGAACCTCTGAAGGACCTGGCGCACCAAGTGTGACTGAGTCAAGATCTGCAAGCCAAGATAACGGCGCAGTTCTCCAAGGTCAGTGCAAGTGTGTCTCTTCATAAGCTCTGCCTTCACGGAGGCCAGTGCGTCCCTGTCTGCTGTGGCAAAGACCAGGTCGTCCACGTACACAAGGATGTAGAACGGAGTCTAGCTAGCACGAACAAAGAGTGAGGGGTCTGCCGAGGACAGAAAGAACTGAAGGTCAGCAAGAGTAGCACGCAGCGTGTCGTGCCACTCACGCGGAGCCTGCCGCAGGCCGTAGACGGGACGCCGGAGGAGCCACTGAGTCCCAGGAGGGAAGGTGCCAGTAAAACCCTGAGGGCGACGCAGGTAGACCTGCTCGTGTAGGCTGCCCTGAAGGAAGGCAGTGGAGAAGTCGAGGGAGTGAAGCTCGTAGTCACGCTGAGCTGCTACGAGTAGCAGCACCCGAAGAGTAGTCATCTTCGGGGTCGGAGCGAAGGTCTGGAAGAAGTCCACCCCCTCACGCTGACTGAAACCTCTAGCCACGTATTGCGCCTTGAACACAGGCGGCTCTCCAGGAGGGCGCTTCACCTTGAAGAGCCAGCGGCCATCGACTACGTTCACCCCAGGTGGGGGAACTGCGTCGACGAAGGTGCCAGTGGATCTCCAAGATGCCATCTCCTGCTCCATGGCAGCTATCCACTGGGAGGCCCAGAGTCCCGAGGTCGCCTCAGCGTAAGTGCGAGGGGTCGGGATGTCGAAAGAGTCTGGGTCACCCTCAGGGACTAGCAGCATGGAACAGAGATGGGGAGCAGCCTCGGACAGGAAAGCAAGCTCGAACTGGCAGTCCTCTAGGACGTCACTGCCGAGGGCAGGAGCACCCCCGACAGACAAAGGACAGGCAGGGTCAGAGACCAGAGCAGTGGCGTAGTCAAGGCGGTGGGTAGAGGTGAAGTCAGCGACCACAGCTACCAGAGCGTCAAGGCACGAGACCGGAACAGACGGGTCGGTAACGCGAGAGGCAAGGACCCGAGGAACAAGAGGACGAGCGGCACGAAGGTAGTCAGACAGAGGGGGGGGGTGCAACAACAAGGGAGGACGGAGGAGGCGACGGGAGAAGGGGAGGACGAGACGCGTGGGAACGAAGCAACATAGGGTGGGAGCGCAAGACAGGCGAGGCAGGACGAGCACAGGAGGGACGGTGAAACCAGACGTGAGACGGAGGAGTCGAGTCAGGAGACAGGGGAGGGGACACAGGGGGGGAACGAGGGGGAAGACGAGCCGGTGACGAGTCCGGCGGAGGGAACACAGGGCCGTACACGGGAAGAGGAGGAGACGGCCGGAGAGGAACATACGCAGGGTCAGGGGACGGAAGGCCGAGCAGGCGAAGGGCTGACACCGGCGGGGGCTGCTGCTGCGGCAGCACAACGCCGACACTGGGACCGCAAGCTGCTCCTCGAGTACCACTGGCAGACTCCACTCCAGCACCCACAGAAGGAACACTCCCAAGGCCCGAAACCCCTCGGGCACCGGCACCACCCCCAGGGCCACCGGGGCTAGGACCCACTCCAACGCCTGCACCCCCAGAGGCAACGAACGGCTGCTGCGACGGCGGCGGCAGCTGCAGGGACGACGACGGTGACAGCAGAGGCGACAGCGGCTGCAGAGGCGGCGGAGGAGGAGACGCCTGAGGAGGGGCAGACGGCGAGGACTGCGCCGCAGGACCACCAGAGTCAGAAGACCCCTCAATTGGGACAACCGACGGGAGAGGAGTAACGTGGGACACACCGGAGGGGGCAGGACGGGGAGGGGGAGGGGGGGGGCAGGGACCACCGGAGAAGAAGTGACCAGGAACAGGGGGGGGGTAACCGGGGGACCGCGGTGGGGGAAGCGACGGTAGAAGGAGACGGACTGGTCAAAGGTGATGTCGCAAGAGTGAAAGAAGCGGTGAGACGGCGGGTGGTAGAAATGCCAGTCGGACGCGTCAAGGGGAAAACCTAGGAAGACGCAGGGAAGGGTGCGGGCAGTGAGCTTGTCCGTGCCGGAGGCACAAACGTGAGCAAGGCAGCCCCAGACGTGGAACGCAGTCGCGTCACCAGGTGACCCGGTCCAAAGACGGGTCGGCGAAACCTGCGGCTGCTGGGGGTGCGGCCACAGGTTATGCTGGTGAGAAGCGTAGCGCACGGCAAACGGCCACAGAAAATGGGGTGCACCGGTATGGATCATGGAGGTGCGAGTAACCTCCATGACCAAGCCGATGCGTCGCTCAGCGACCCCATTTTGCTGTGGGGAGTCCGGCAGGGTGAACGTCTGGGTGATGCCCTCCGTACGACAGAAGCGACCAAGGACACCTGAGGCAAACTCGCCACCACGGTCGGAGTGAAGGCGCAAGACAGGGAGACCTCGGTGGACACACGCAGAGACAAGCCAGGGGATGAGAGCGTCAGGCACGTCGGCCTTGCGCTCCAGGGGAAAGACTGTGGTGTAGCGAGTGAAGTCGTCGACAAGCACGAGGAAGTAGCGCTCTCGACGCGACCCATGGACGGGGGCGGGGCCCCAGACGTCCATGTGCAGGGTCTGCAGTGGCGCGGCGGTAGGGGGAAACGAGGAGGAGTGAGGGGCACGGCGAAGCCGACCCTCGACGCAAGGCGTGCAAGGTGGGGCGGGGGAGGAGGGAAATGCGGGGAGAGAACCAGGGAGACCAAGGACGAGACCGTGCTGGGACATGTGACGCAGACGCGGGAGCGCAGGGTGACCTAGGCGGTGGTGCCAAAGGAGAGTCGGATGAGTGAGGGACCGACAGGAGCAGGCAGCAACAACCTGGGTAGACGCAGCCACTTGAAGGGGCGCCCCAGCCGGGGGGGTCACGGTGTCAAGGGTGAACAGGCCGGACACTGGGTCCCGGGGAACGTGGACAGGGGGGCACCTGTGGCGGCCTCGGTACAGACAGCATACCGCTCGTTACCAGGGAACGTAGTGGTGACGCCAAGGTCCTGGAGGCAGCCGACACCAACTAGGTTCCTGGAGAACGAGGGGATATGCAGACCTGTGAGAGAGCCCGAAGGAACCGCCGGACAGGGAAGGGTGGTGGAACTGCGGGCAACTACCGGACCGCCGGAGGGGTCAGCAAGAGAAACGGCAGCAGGAACAGGAAGCGGCGTCAGTGTAGTAGAGTCGCGGAAGAAGCACCGGGAAGCGCCAGAGTCCAAGGTGAAGGAAAGCGAAGCAGTGGCGTCTGGCGACGGGGCGACGGCGGAAGCACCAAGGCTAAACAAAGCAGGGGCTCCTACGCCTGACGCAACAGGGGAGACTAAGCTAGGCACACCTACAGTAGCCGACAAGGAGGAATAAGCGGGAAGCACACTAGAGTCATCAGCATACATCACATGCAGAGTGGAAACTATAGCATCCATGTCCATGTCAAAAATATGAATCCTACGACTAAGCAAACTGTGCCAGTCCGGGAGGTCTGGCGACGGGCCGAAGCGCTGACGAAACAGGTCGTCCAGGCGACGAAAACAACGAGAAGTGGTATTACCAATCTTACCGCAAACGAAGCCGCGGCGAGGACCGGTCTGGA